ATAATATTTATTATTTTTCTAGTATATAGCAAAGGTCTACCAATATGGAGCACTGCTCAATCCTCCCAAAATTGACTTTGCCCTCGAGACGGGTAATATTCCTATCCTGTTGGTATCTCACCTGTGCCTTTGAATTTCTCATCTTTCTGAGGACGCAAAATATAGATAAAGACAAAAGGATTCCGAAGAAGAAACCTAAAAACGTCATTCCAACAAGAAGACCAGCATCTGAGTCTGAACATTTCAGTGGTACTTTGGTAAACAATAAAAGGATATTGACATGGCATTGTATGAATACAGTGCATTACAAATATTTATGTGCTAGTCAAACATTATATAAATTTACAAAAATATTTTTATAGTATTTGGAAATTTAGTAGGGCGACATAATGTTAGTTACCTTATTAATGAAATTATCGTACACACCAACTCCTATAGGTTCATAGGTTTGCTAAAATAGTTCTAAGTAATAATTTTACTTTTATTTCACTCGTTTTGATTTAAAGACAAAACGACCGAATTATTCGGATACCTTCACCAATTGAATGAATAATGAAAATACGTACCCGTGACTGCAATACTTGATACGGATGTTGATGATGTGACTAATGCAAATGAAACAATTTTAGAAGAAACAAAACTGAATATAGTGATGTACAAAATTTATTTTCTTTTCATTTGCAAATAATCGTACAAAATATGAATAAAAGGAATACGTACCTATGGTGAAAGAACTGGCTAAGGATGTTGATGTAGCTAATGAAAAAGAAATTAATGTTTCCAAATTGAAAACAAAATACTAAATATAATATTGAAAGAGAACATTAATAATAAATAATGTAAGATAGTTTTTTAGATAGTATTCCATTTTATTCTATAATATTGTATTGTAGATTTTTAATTTAATATTCCCACTATTATTAAGTAATTTTACTTACAAGTGAGACTAAACAATGACAGTGTTCCTTTATTACTTAGCTTTCCTTCATTTCCATTGTAAGCTGCATTCTCTGTTCGACATTGGTAGTCTCCTTCGTCCATTTCATTGACTCTACTGATCTCTAATGTTGTATCTGACTGTGGATACTTCTCAATATCAGACACATCGAGTACACCGCC